GCCCCCCCCCCCCCCCCCACACACACACACACACATCCCCTCTGTCCATTTCTGTGCGTGTTGTGTTGTGTCAGCATGGGTGTGGGCTACCGTCCCGACCACCGCGTTTCGTTCATCCCGCAGCCGACCGTGCCCCCGCTGCACATGACGACCAACCGCAACTTCACGCAGGTGCCGGCCACCACGGCGGGCCAGCAGCTCATCCACCCCAACCAGACCACCGGCACCGGACAGCAGCAGCAGCAGCATGGCGGCGGACTCGGCATGGGCATGGGCATGGGCATGGGCATGCCGCAGATGGGGCCGATGGGGCCGATGGGCGGCGGGCAGGGGATGCCCGCGCAGGTGCCGTACGGAACGCGTTCGGTCATCCAGCCATACAACATAGGACCCCAGAACAACAGTGAGGAGCAAGCAACACACCCAGAGAGAGCAGACAGCCCATCACACACATCTCATCTCTGCTCATGTGTGTCTTGTCGTGATTGATGTCCTGCTGTATCTGATCTCATGTCAGTCGGCGGTTTCTTCGGCGGACCCAAGGGCGGCGCCCCCCTGCCCCGCCCCCCCGGCCCATTCAACATGAAGATGCACGCACACCTCACACCCGCACCGACGCCCGGCGGACCGACGGGCACCATGAACCTGCGCCCCCCTGCTGGCCGGCTCAACGCCGCCCCGCAGGTGCCCCCCCAGGGGCTGGGCCGCGGCGCTGCCCGCCCGCCGCCCTTCACACACATCAACCCCCACATCCGCATGCAGTGAGCGGACGCAGTGGCGGAGATGGGAACGTAGATAGATCTCGAGGGATGGGGGGAGGGGAGGGGGTAGTGGTCTGGATGACATGACATGGTGCGTGCGTGCGTGACGGGCAGGGGAGAAGGTAGCGAAGCGAGCGACATACCTGCTGCATACACACACCCTCTCTCTGCATTCTTGCGTCGATGGTGGTCGATGGCTGGTGGGGTGACTGGGGGCGGGCTGTGGGGCTTTTAAAGGATGGCTATGGTAGAGAGAGACACACAGATAGAGACAGACAGGTTTGGCCGACTTGACCCATCATGTGTGCGATCACACACACACAGACAGACAGAAGACCAGTCAGTCGCCTGTTCGCCATCCCACCCCACGCCACCTCACCCCACCTCACCCCACCCCATGCCATCGATGCATCACGGCTTCCGTGCTGTTTCTTTGCTGAAAGCAACGTGGACTCTCTCCCATGGATGGATGGATGGATGGATGGATGGATGGATGGATGGATGGACGTGCACACAAGAGGGGTAGCTCTATAGACGGACACATCCATGATGCCTGTGCCCATACATTACACACAACAGAGAGAGAGAGAGAGAGATATAGCCTATCAATCGATAGCATAGCCAGAGAGCCAGCCGATGCACTCACTCACCGATCTGACTGCCTTGGACCAATACGCAAGCCCCTCTCTAACTCAGACAGAGAGGAGCATGACACACTGAGCAGCGAGCCGTAGCGAGCAACAGACAGACAGACAGACAGGCAGACACACACAACAACAACACATCCAGCATTCGCCGGACGGCCATCTTGGCCCGTGGTGTTGGTGCATCGGCTGCTCTGATTAAGAAGTGTTTTTGCCTGCCTGCCTGCCTGCCTGCCAGTGGTGGTGACTTGCATGGGATGCCAATGCATGGATGGATGGATGGTGTGTTTGTTTGTTTGTTCGTTCGTCTGTCGCCTTTGCGCTGCATAGTGCTAGGATGGGACCACACGCATGGTTTTGAAATGAAAGCGCTACACATCCGGTGTATTGTGCCATTCCACCCGCCAGCAAAGCTACCCCATTGAAGCGCCAAGCCTTTCTATGAATACATTGCGGCCGTTCAGCCCTGAGTTTGTTCCTCTGCTCATGATAGGCTGCTTGGCTCTCTCACTTTGACGCCAGAAGCCCGAATTGCGGACACCCCTGCTGATCGCCCTTTGCGAGCCTCCAGCCTTTCTTCTCGAATGCGCTTTTTCCGGACAATTCGTTCGTTAACAAGGTCCATCGATGACGATTCGCCGAGCGCTGAATGCCCGCATTGATGCTGGAAGGCACGGCTGCAGCCTCATCCCTGTTGGTCGATTCTGCAGCTCGTCGGCGGCAAGATCCAAAGGCCGGCAGTGGACCATTGTGGTCAGGAGAGGCAGGCAAACATCATGCGGGAAGGATGGTTCAATTATCTGTGTGTGTATTGCGTTGCCTTGCCTGCAGGTCGGTGTTGGCGCGAGGGATTTTGAGAACAGCCGCTTGGCAATGAGAAGGGTATACACACACATCGATACGACAAAACACCGGAAAGATCCCTGGATGGATTGAAATGCATTCGCATCTTATCATCTTGTCAGGCCTTCGAGCTCTCGCAGCCCTCCGATCACGTGATAGCCCTCCACTGCCGCCCAACAGGTGCCTCCTGGCCTCCCCCTCCACCCCTCGCTGCCGCACTTGACGTGACCATCCTCCAGCCCATGAAACGGCTGTTTGAGGTGCGGCAGGCCTCACACATCGCCAGCCCCGCACCGCTGAATGACCGCACCATTCGGGATGAGATGGCATCCGCTGCGAGGGAGAAGGCGCCCGACGGTGTGAGCCATGCTTGTGAGGTGGTGGATGCGCCCGAAGCGGGAGGGCCGAGAGCCGGACTGCTCAATGGTGGGCGGATGGGGTGGTCAGTCGGCCAGCAAGGGGGAGTTCCTGCGTGTCCGCATTGTCTGTCTTTCTTGTCTGGTCTGGTGCGGTTGGTACTTGTACAGTTCTTAAACGAGAGAATGCCCATTTGGCTGTGCTTGGCTTTGGGACAAACGAGAAGATCGGTCACGTCAGCAGCTACATACTGGCCAACGGTTCGAAACAAACGATGCAACTCACTCGAACAGACAGAGGAGGATTGTCGCTCTTATCTCCATTCTGTACTCAGCTCCTCAGTCGTGTGATGTCGTCATCGTGCGCCAGCACGTGCCCGCGGCGAGCACTGAGCCCCAGAGTGGCCATCACCACGAGGCGCATGGCATTGGCTGGGAGGACGTCAAGGCGATCCTCTTTCGAATGGGCATGACCGTCGCTGTGGTCCTCTTCTGGAGAGGGACATGGTCAGTCAATCAGCATACCCATGACCACCCTTTGTGAGTCTTCACTTGTCTGTCCGTCGTCAGGTTGACGCTGGATCACTATCTGTTCCCTGACGACCTCATCAAGTCGGGTCTGTGCAGCCTCGCCGTCGGATACAGCGCCATAGCCATCGCCATGGCCTTCCAGAAACGCATCGGCGGGCGGATAGCCCACATCGAGGGGCCGCTCATGAGATCTGTCGCCAAATTCGGATACATGTATGTGTTTATGTGTGTATGTGAGCAGCACGGCCAGAGGGTCACGTAGGAAACCTCTGTGTGTGAGCCCCGTGTGTTGGTTCAGGTATCTGGTTGGCCTGGCTGTCGTGTTCAGCTGGCGAGGCATATGGGTGACGTGCGATGGCATTTGGCAAGGTGGGAAAGAACAAAGAAATCAACACGAACACCCATCCGCAGGTGTGTATCGGTTTGAATCCACTCTTTTCATGTCCGCAGGTGCCGAATTGCAGAGCGCCTTTGGCACCCACATCGCCGGCCTAGTCCTGCTGGCCTTCCAGTTCGGCCATCTTGCGTCGGCCCTTGCGCCGCCAATTGTCAAGGTGTGCGACCACCGTGATGCTGACACCTTCCTCCATCCTGTGGGCGAGTTCAAGCGGAGGGCGGCCAAGGTGCGCCAGACAGTGGCGGCAACCGCCAAGCCGATACTGAGGAAGGTCATGTAGAGCTGTCGCTGCAGCCCGTGGCAGCACTAATTGTGGTGTACTGTCTGTGCTTTGTCGATTCGTTCGATTGTATTGATTATGATTGGACTGCCGGCCGGGCGGCACTTTTTTGCCCCCCGGCACTGTACAGTTCCGCTGGCGTGGTGTGTACATGTAGCTAATTGTGTGGATGTGCGTGTGTCATTGAATGCGCTGTCACCGAGTCGCTTCGTCATGCGACAAACTAAATGCATCCATTCATTCATTCTTCACTGGTCAGTCCGGTCTGGTCCATCATCTATCTCTTTTTTGTTCTATCTCTTTGTAGAGCCTGCTGAGTCTCCTATGCTCATACTCCAGCACCTTGGCGCAGGACGCATCGAGATGCACCAAGTCCAGCCCCCCCACCGTCATCTGACGCTTTCCCTCCCCTTGACCCCCACTACCAGCCGCACAGTGACTCAGGGACCTATCAACACTCCCCCTCTCGGCGGGGTCAGAAAACCACCTCGACACAACCGTGCGGCTGCTTGTGCCAGGCACTGACATGGACTTGTCGCTCACATCCAACGGCTCGGCCGCATCGCTCCGCGGCGATGGATGGGCGTCCGTCGGTGTCATGAATGGAACCTGAGTGCACTGGCAATGCTCAATCACCCTGAACACATCACATCCATGGCAATGAAACGGCACTTGATTTGCGTGTGTGTGTGGTGTGTGGTGTGGTGTGGTGTGGTGTGGTGTGGTCGACCTACTTTGCCCGCACTTTGAGAGCCAGAGGGCTGTCGCATTCAATCCGCTTAGCCTCGAAGTTTGGGCAGAGGAAGCGCTCCAGCGACTGCGTGTACCAATCGTTGCACACATTGTAACACAAAATCATCACAGAGCCAGCTGCACCAGACAGACACACAGACGCCAACCACACAACACATGAGGCACAGAATGACCCTCGGCGTGCGTGCATCTTCGTCGTCTGCTCACGTATCGAGATGAGTGCGGCCCTCGAAGGCGCTCCAGGGCGGTAGTAGCGGGAGGCGGTCTCGATTGAGTAGTGGAGGGCCGTCGAGAGGGCGAGGGAGCGTGTGACGGCCGGGCCCCACACGTGAGAGTCGATGATCACACTGCGGTCGTACGGCGTCAGCAGCTTGGGATCCCTGCATAAGAAATCCCCATCAGCCAACATACCACACCATTTGTGGCGTTATGTTCTTTCGTTCGGACCTCAGTTCTTGCCGGAAGAGCTCCAGGACCTCAGGCAGCCACGTCCTGTGCGCAGATCATGAATGTGCGCATGCGCCTTCACGCAAAATGGACGGGACGGCTGCATTCTCTTGCTTACGTTGCGTCGTGATGGACGCGCTCAAACTTGGCGTGCAGCGGCCGCAGTACATGCTCCCCGAAGGCTTGCCATCGCTCCTGATACCGCTGCCAATTGAAGATCCCATAGATGATGGTGAAATACATCCTCCACGGACCATGAGGGTCACATGCCAGCCGGTCTGAGCCTGTTTCTATGCCTCTTTCCCTTCTGCCACATCTCAGTCAGCTAAGCTCGCAATGCTTCAGAAGCTCGCGGCTGGAAATGAGAGCGTGACGGCGTAACTGCCAGCTCAGAGACGCTGCCAGGCATCGCAACACTGGTTTGTGAGCTGGCAGTGAGGGAGGATGGAGTTTCGGAGGCGTCTAGCACAGGGGGTGGGTGTAGTGGCTGTGGCTGGTGCGGCGGGCGGCGTGCTGAGCTACGGTGCAGTGAGGGATAGGGAGCGGCACACGGCCCGGTGCTCGGACCGCGGGTATCCTCCTCGTCCGCCATTCTACCCCTTCTGGTTCAAGTGGATGCTGCATGGCCATGACATACCCAGGTAGATATCTAGATGGGCAGGCAGCACAGGCTGGATGGATGGATGGATGGAGAGATGGAGAGAGAGATAGATGCCAGTGCGCGTCACGTGCTTCGTTCAGTGTTCGTCGCGGGTTTGAGGTGTACCAGAAGGTGTGTGCCAACTGCCACTCGATGGTGGAACTCAGCTTCCGGCACCTCATCAACGAGGTCTACCCCGAGAAGAGAGTCAAGGTGCGTTGCGTTGCGTGCGTCACAACAAACAGAGAGCAACGCTCATCAGCCAAGGAGAGAGATGGCATGTTGCGTCACGTGGTGTGCTGTGCTGTGCAGCAAATAGCGGCCCAGTATGACGTGTTTGACGGTCCGAACCAGGAGGGCGAGATCTTCGTGAGGCCCGGCATCTGGACAGACTCATTCCCGCGACCATACCCCAACGACGATGGTACCACAGCCATCCATCCATCCGACACATAGACAGCCATGATGTGGTGATGTGTGCAGCTGCGCGTTATGCGAACGGCGGTGCGCTTCCGCCCGACCTGTCGGGTATCGTGGCGGGGATGCACGGCAACGCTGACTACATCTTCTCACTGCTCACTGGGTAGGGGGGGGGGGG